CTGGTGGCTTAGTGCCTAAGGCATTTGACTGCTAACCAGAAGGCTGGTAGTTCAAACCCACCAGCACTCCTTGGAAAGAAGGTTGGGCAATCTACTTCTATAGTGATACTGCCTCGGAAACCCAAGGAGGGGTCACTATGAGTTGTGTCCTACTCGATGGCACATAACAACAACGAATACACACACACACACACATATAGTTCTAAATAAGCAGTCATAACATAATATAGACGCTGTTAGAAGTAGGTAAGAATGATGAACAAAAGAAAAGAATGCAACAATAGAAGCATAAAATAGAGCCAGGAATTAAGCTAAGAAAAGACCACAAAAGTAACTAACCTTTCTCAAAGACAATGAAGAGGGGAATACATGATCAGTCATATAGTTCACTATGTCCCTCAGTGAAACACTGACTGATTCTGCAAAAGCAGATGACATTTGTTCCTTACAAGGCCAGAAAGAAAATTTTCGTATGAGTCCTCATAAAAAGGACACTGTGTAATGTGGAGAATTATATATTTAACAATTACAGTATGTTCCATGACAAGTTTCACAGGACTGTTCCTTACAGCATCTATCAGAGAATGACTAACTCACAATTTGAAGTATGGAGACATGCCCCACTTCAGCTTGTACAATTCACCTTGTTTTTCTTTAAAGCTCCTTTCCTCTTTATTAAGCAAAGGAGAACTACAGGCCAGTCCCCAGATTCTGAAAGAGATCCATTCCTAACTGTGTCCTTAAGAGTTTGTAGGTCAGGTAAATTCAGACTCCATTTGAGTTCAACACTGTACCTATACTTAAAGTCCCAGGCAAACCCAGAGAGGAGCTGTTTGCCCTCAGGGAGACTGTGGTTGAAAGCAGATTAACTAGTATACAGAAAATTGCTCACATAAAGAACTAGGAAACTTACCTGGCCATGTCCTTAATGATTTACCAAAAATAGTGAATCAGACATGTCACCTAATTTAAGTTAAATGTTGGGGTCTTGGTGACTGTGCCTCAGAGTCACATGATCATGACTACCACCTAGCCTGGTAATCAAACTCCAGATCAATCCTGTAACTTTTTTTAATCTGCAGTTCTGTATGGATCTCAATCATTGATCTTTTCCCACTTCTGTAGACCCCCCTGTGATGGTGATGGATTGACCCACCACCAGTCATGATCTTGTGACGATTTTGTTTGTTCTTTATCCTACATAATGAGCACCATGGCCACGATTCAGCAGATTCCATCGGCATCTGTACTGCATGCGTGCTGATGGTTTCCCTCATCTGGATCATGGTCTTTGTTTTATTTTTTCTTTGTCCTATTTAAGGCTTAATAAAAGAGTCTCTATAGAGGAGGAAAAAAAGAAAGAAGAATCTGTAGGTCAGTCAGAACAGGTGCATGTGGTTCTTATTTAGCCTTACTTTAGTGCAAGAAAAGGCACTGTGGTGGTGTAATGGTTAGGCATTTGGCTGCTAACCAAAAAGTTGGTGGTATGAACCTATCATCTGCTCCATGGAAGAAAGATGGAGTAGTCTGCTTCCATAGAGATTTACAGCCTTGGAAACCCAATGGGTGTCACGATGAGTTGGAATCAACCCAATGGCAGTGAGTTTGGTTTTTGGTTTTAGTGCAGGGGGAGCTCTGGTTAAAGCATTCAGCTGCTAACCAAAAGGTCAGTGGTTTGAAACACAGGAGAAAAACAAGGCAGTCTGCTTCCATAAAGATTTACAGCCTTGGAAACCCTGTGAGGCAGTTCTACTCTATTCCATAGGGTCACTATGACTCAGAATTGACTCAAAGCCAGTGGGTTTGGTTTGGTTTAGTGCAAAAAAAAGGCTCAAAGCCATTCCAGTGATTTAAAAATGTGCATGTGCAGCAAGTGATGGTGATGGTGATGAAGAATGTGTTGTGAGTAAGGCTTGGTTCTGTCATTTCAAAGCAGAGCTTTACATCGAAACAGCGACACCCCACTTAAAGATGGTGGCTGATGCACCACTTTGAATATGTGTCACTCTCCACAGCCTCGTCAACAACCCAATCTCATGTCCTGAAATAGCTCACTATGACTCCTCCAAGTCCCATTCAAGGGCTTCAGCCTGTAATTTTTCCATTCTACTCACCCTGATGAATCCGCCAAATTAAAAAAATTCTAATCTGTTCCTGCTTCACTTTGTCAGCTGTGACAGAATTGGTCTGAATCAGTTCAAAGTCCTGCTTAAAGGCAAGTAGGAGTTGTCCATGAGTTGGACATTCGCGCCTGAGGACTGCCTGTTGTCATTGGTAGGTGCTATCGGGTCAGCACTGACTCATAGAGACCCCGTGTACAACAGAGGGAAACACTGCCCAGTCCTGGGCCAGCCTCATAATCCTTGCCGTAAAAGTTTTCCAGTAATAGACAGTATTTCACTGCTGTTCATAAGGTTGTCATTGGCCAATTCTTTGAGAAGTGGATGGCCCCTTCCTTCTTCTGAGTCTTTCTTAGTCTGGAAGCTCCACTGAAACCTGTCCACCATGGGTGACCCTGCTGGCATTTGAAGTACCGGTAGCATAGCCACCAGCCTTACAGCAACACACAAGCCACCATAGTACAACAAACTGACAGACGAGTGGTGGGACTGCCTGTGGTAATAATCAAGTACCACAGTTTTTAGAAGTTGGTAGCATTATACAGTGCAAAGAGCACTAGCTTGGAATACAAATGATGCCTAGGCAAATCACGTACCTTGCCTTGTTGCTGTTGTTATGTGCAGCATAGGTCGAGTCAGACCTAACTCATAGCGACCCCTCCTTGGGTTTGCGAGGCAGTATCACTATGGAAGTAGATTGCCCAACCTTCCTTCCGAAGAGTGGCTGGTGCATTTGAACCGCCAGCCTTCTGGTTAGCAGTCAAGTGCCTTAGGCACTATGCTACCAGATGATGATACTTGCCCTGCCTACTTTAGAAGTAAACTGTAAAACTGTAAATTATAATTACCAATTTTATTATCATCTAATAAATAAAAATAGCAAATCTCTAATTCGTATAGATATCTTTCTTACTAATCTTTAACTATTCTATTCTTTCTCCTTACATTTACATTAACATCCATCCCTAAGCATGAAAAGATAGAGACTTCTACACCAATGTTCATAGCAATACTTCTCACAACAGCCAAAAGGTAGAAACAGCCTAAATGTCCATCAACAAAGAATGGATAAACAATGTATGGTGGCGTAGTGCCTAAGGCACTTGACTGCTAACTAGGAGGCTGGCAGTTCAAACCCACAAGACACTCCTCGGAAGGAAGATTGGGCAATATACTTCTGTAGCGATACTGCCTCAGAAACCCAGGGAGGGCTCGCTATGAGTCAGATCCGACTCCACCACAGTGCATTTGGGTTTTTTTATACACACAATAAGGAGCTCTGGTGCTGTGGTGCCAAAGGCATTTGACTGCTAACCAGAAGGTTGGTTGGTGGTTCAAACCCACCAATCACTCCACAGAAGAAAGATGAGGGGTAACCTACTTCCGTAAAGATTTACCATCTCAGAAACCCAGTGGGGGTCACTGTGAGTCAGAATCAACTCACTGGCAGTGAGTTTGGTGTTTTGGTTGGTTTAGTTTGGTTATACACACCATAGAGTATACTCAGCCATAAAAAGAATGAAGTTCTGATACATGCCACAGCATGCATGAACCTTGAAATTGCCATGCTGAGCAAAATAAGTCAGTCTCAAAAAGGCAAAACTGTGTGATCCCATTTATATGAAATAAGCAAATAAATAAAAACCAAAGATTATTAATGGTTACCCAGGGTGGGAAGGAGTTAATGTTAATGGTGGTAGAATGTTTGGGATAAGCATAGTGTTAATGGTAACACAACATGAAAAATACAGTCAATGTCATTGAGTTATAAACATGGAAGTTGTTGTGTTGACAGATGTTTTAATGTGTAGGTTTTCACCCCAATAAAAAAAAAAGAAGAAGAAGAACCTAAATTGATTGCGTAATATAAGCCTATCAGTTTTATTAGTATAATTTATAGGCAATACAATATGACCACACAGTAGACTTTAAGGTAGCCAGCCTGCTGACATTGAATTAATTCTTGTTGTTGTAAAACTCTTCTGAGCTGCATTAGAGAATTAACAAAGCAGGTTATTGAAATTTCTTCCTCAGGAGGGACCAGAGGAGATCATGAAAGAAAAAAAAAGTTCTCAGGATAAACAAAGACAACAAAGACATAATTTGAGATAGCATGACATAGTTCAGTATGATGGGAAAGGACTGACAAAAGAGCTTGATTGTATGAGCTACGTCACTTTGAGCAATAGCATCAGACAGGTATGATGTTAAAACACAGAAAAAGAAAATCTTGGGCCCTACAAGTAGTCTGTAAAGTCCCAGAGCAGAGGATCTTCTTGGAAAAAAAAACTAAATCAAACCAAACCCACTGCCATCGAGTCAATCCCAGCTCACAGCGACCCCCATTGGGTTTCTAAGGCTGTCAATCTTTACTGAAGTAGATTGCCTCATCTGCCTCCTACAGAGCAGCCAGTGGGTTTGAACCACCAACCTTTTGGTTAGCAGCCAAATGCCTTACCCACTATGCTACCAGAGCTCCTTCTTGGAAGGAAAAAGACTGCTAATTCCAAATAGCTAATTCCAAATAATTCCAAATTCCTCCTTCTGCTAATTCCAAATGTTCATGTGGGAGGCAACATTCAAAGCAGCAACTCTAATAAAATATTTCTTAGAGTTTACACTCAGCTCTGCTTGCTGCCTCTTTCTTTTGGAGGAGTTAATGCACACGGGACAGCACACCTCACTACCGGTTTTCCTTTTTAGAAGCTGTAGTGTTAACTGCAGACGGGGACACATGACCTCAGACAGCACATGAGTGGTATCATTTCCTTAAATGAGTACTGAAAGTAAAATCAATAACATAATCATGATTATTCTAATGCACTTATAACAGTAAGGTTAAATACATCACTTACTTCACTTTTGTATTTTGACATTTAGATTTATGGAAAATCTACAAACAGAGGTCCAAGAAATGGAGTTCCTTCAGTTCTCTAGAGGGTTAAGCTTCATGAGAAAAGAAGACTTTGCAGAATGGCTCCTTTTTTTCACTAACACTGGAAATAAAGACATTTATTGGAAAAATGTGAGAGAGAAGTTGACAGCGGGAGAGGTTAGTATACCTGTCATTATGCACGGGATCAAGTTGGAATAATAAGCTAGACATGTTGATATAATTAAAGCAACATGCCTCAGAAATCCATGGGGGGTCGCTACAAGTCGGAATCAATGCAATGGCAGTGAGTTTGGTTGAGTTCGGTTATGTTCCTCTTTGTTTATTGTGTAAGCATAAAATCAAGTTTCCCTGTTGCCTAAGGTAGAGTTAGAAGAGCAACCACTTTCTGGTGTTCCAAGAGTCGGGAATAAGATAAAAATGTCCACTAGCACCGTTGTTATTTAATACTGTTCTGGAAATCTTAACCAAGGCAATTTTTTTTTTAATTATGATTTGAGTAAAAGTTTACACAGCAAACTGGTTTTCCATTCATCAGTCCATACACACTCTGTTTTGTGACATTCACTGAGATCCCCACACTGTAACAACATTCTTTCCACTTCCTCCCAGCACCCACCGTGTCCTTTCATTCTTCCTTCCCATTCCTTCCTGCCTTCCTAGCTTTATCCCTGGGCAAATGCTGTCCTCTTGATCTTATATGGTTGATTGTTCTAATGAGTGCATACTCTGTTTAGCCAATGCAAACTAATAAAAGATTATAAAAATTGGAAAGGAAGAGTAACTGTCCAGTGTACAAATCTCAAGTTAGAAAATGTAATGGCACAAGCATGCATGCACGTGGGCATGTGTGTGTCTGATGAATGAAAGAATGATCACCAAAGTGTTAATAATGATTAATACACAGTGGTGACATTGGCCATCATTCTCACTTTCTTGCTTTATACCTCTGTGCGTTGCTCAAAAAAATTTTTTTTTACAATGAGCGTGTATTATTTATATAATTTTTTTTTAAAAAAAAAAGCGATTTCTGTTGCTAGGAAAAAGATAATGAAACATAGTAGATGATCCCATTTATAACTGCAATAGAAATATATAACAATTAAAAATAAATTTAGAAAGGAAAAGAAATAAAAATTAAGAAATATATAAAGAAAACTATAAAATGTTGATGAATTATAAAAGAAAACATCTAATTACAGACATATTGGAAGGCACATGGATAGGAAATCTTAGTATTATAAATAGAGCATTTCTTCCTTAAATTAGTCAATAAATTTAATGGTTATAGTTCAGAACAGCCTAGGTTTGCTGCACTTACAAATTAACTCTGAAATCCCCATGGCTTCACACAGCAAGTATTTATTTCTTATTGTGCTCCGTGTCCATTGTGGGCTGGTAGGAGGCCTGTGGGACACTCTCAGGCTCTGCCATCTTGTAGCTTCACCAGCTAGCAAAACCACCATCCACATTACCCAGGCAAGAAAAGAAAAGTTTGAATCATAGTGCAACACTCAAATGTTTTGCCCTGGACTATCACATGGTACTAGGCCATTGGCCAGACTAGTCACATGACCCCACCTAACTGCAAAGAGACTAAGAAGGGTTGTCTTTCATATGGGCAGGAATCAAAGAGAACCAGATCCTGGTGAACACTAATGGACTTCAATAAAAATACCACTGAATTCTTGAGAAGGAGCAAGACAAACCATGTAAAAGTAATATGCAAAGAATTCCCAGATACTGAAATATTTTCAGACCTTGATAATGAAGAGTTTGTTTAAATTCCATTTTGGTGAATAGTGACTGGGGTCATAAAGCTTGTGAGTGGCCAGTGCAACTAATTGGTCTGTTCCTGCTCAGAGGACTAATGGACCACATGAACCACGGCCTCCACTAGCCTGAGACCAGAAAAACTAGATGGTGCCTGGTTACTACGGCTGACCACTCTGAAAGGAATCACAGTTATGAGGTCCTGGATAGAGTGGGAGAAGAAATAATGAAAGAAGGCCAGGCATTCTGGTCTAATAGAGACTGGTCAAACCCCCCAAGACTATGGCCTTTAGACACCCTTCAGGCCTGGAACTGAACTCCTCACCCCCATGGCTCAACTTTCAGCCAAATGATAGGCCTGTAAGTTGAACAGTAACACCAGGGAGGTACACATTCCTAAGAACAATCAACAGAATGAGATCAAAATGGCAGCATCTGCCCAGGAATAACCTAAGGCAGGAAGTGATAGGAAAGAAGGACAAATGGAAATGGTAAACACCGGGAGGAAGTGGGTGCTGTTACCTTGTAGGGGATTACAATTAACATCCTAAAACAAAATGTGTGTGAATTACTGACTGGAAACCAGTTTGTTCTGTAAGGTTTCACCCAGATGACAAAAAGTTAAAATATGTGTGTGTGTGTGTGTGTGTGTATGTTCCTGACAGTGCCTATGACTGATTGATTGAACAGAATAGGGTGTAGAAATGGACCCAAATATCCAGGGGCATTTCACAGATTTAGTCATACATGTAAAAGAACTGTTAAGAGATGGCATTAATATAATTGGCGGGTCATTTGAGGTGGTAAATGAAGGCAAATCCCTACCTCACTCATTGTTCCAAAATAAATTCCAAATGGATTAAATATGGGAATGCTAATAAGCACGAGAAAACTTAGAAACAATTTATCATAGAGTAGAACGGGTATACATCTTTCTGAGCAAAACCCAGAAGCTTTGAAGGAAAAGTTAATAAAATTACCACCTAAATGTTGAAATTCTGTTGCCTCTGCCACACTGAAAAATATTATAATTGAAGTCAAAGGAAAAAATAAAGTGGGGGTATGGAATATTGGTGCCACGTGTCATAGAATTTCCTTAATTTGTAATGAGTTCTTTAAATAAAACAGCTTCAGGAACTTGGAAGGGCTGAGCATTTGCCCTATAGTGTATCCTAGAACCCGTAAATGGGCCGTCCCCTGTGCTGTCTGCAATTTGACTGTACTTGCATGTTACCCTGCCAGGGTTTCATGGGTGCTGAGAGAAGATCTGAATCTACTGGGTGAGGAAGAAAACTCTCTGCTATTCATAGCATAGTAACAGCACATGCATCCTGTTGGTTTCCATTCTCCTTTGCATCTCATGTCCCATGGGGGTGATACTGAAAGTCCTAGGAGAATGCTGCACACCCTGTGGCTTCATCCCCCAGCTGAGAAGATCTTAGGGAGCATGAATCTTTTCTAATGGCAGCCAGCAAACCTTGCTGACTTTGCTGCAGAGGGGCATTGTCTTCATTATACTGCACAGTAAGCAAAGCTGTCCTCTGCTTTCCAGGGAAACTGTTATAGTCAAAGCCGTTCATATACAAACCTCCTTGAAAACACAGTCTGGAACAAAAGGGCAGTTAGTGCCTCTGTTTCCTAGATATGCAGAAATGCAAGAGACCCATGAAGAACTGTCTCCCAGCACTAAGAAGATCCTAACAGCCTATTCAGGAGCTCTGGTGGCATAAATGGATAAGGCATTTGGCTGCTAACCAGAGTCAGCACTTTAAACCCACCAGCTAGCTCCGTGGAAGGAAGCTGGGGCAATCTACTTCTGTAAAGATTAACAGCCTCGGAAACCCAATGGGGGTCGGTTTAAGTTGGAATCAACTTGATGGCAGTGAATGTGGTGTTTTGGGTTTTAACAACTTATTACAAATCTGGGCAAAAGACTTGAAGACAACACAAGAAGAGAAAACCACAAACAACAAACGTGAAACTGTGTATAACTTCTTCACTCACAAAGACACACAAATTCAAACACTGAAGAGATACCACAATGCTGAGGAGATACCACTTTTCACCAGTCAGAAAAGCAAAAATCAAGAAGGTTGCTCAGTGCCTATTTGAGATCATAATAGAGAAAATTAGGCACCATCTTACTTGTGCTGATAAGATAGACAAACCAAGACAGAAAAAAACAAAACCAAACCCACTGCCATCAAGTCGATTCCAACTCAGAGCAACCCCTGTTGGGTTTCCAGGGCTGTAAATCTTTACAGAAGTAGATTGTCCCATCTTCCTTCCACAGAGTGGCTGGTGGGTTTGAACTGCCAACCTTCTGGTTAGCAGTCAGATGCCTTAAGCAGTGCACCAACAGAATAAATAAAACAAGGTACAAAGTAGGTGCTCCTGCTATGCAGAACAAGGGTATATATGTGTTTGTATGTAGAATATTTCTGGAAGGATACATAAGCATTTGAGAATAGTGCTCACATCTGGGAAAGAGAACTGGGGTCTGAAGAATGAGAAAGTCTTTTTCCTCATTCTTTTCCTCGTGTATCCTTTGTATTGTGTGAGTTTTTTACCATGTATGTATATTACTTAAAAATTTCTTCAAAACTTAATTAAAATTTTTTAACATAAAAAATTCCACACATTCACAAAAAACCAAAAGCAGTAAAACTTGAATAAAACCACAAATATGGTAAGAGCATGATCCTGGCAGTCAAGAGAGAAACTTGTTTGGACAAGGAGGAATTCACTTTCAAATTAGGGATTTTCATACTTTCTTTACTTTTTCAATGGGAAATGAGGTTTTATAGGTTTTGTTGGTTTTGCTTGTATTTGTTTTTAAGGTTTTGAAGTCGGATAGACCAAGATTCAATTCTTCATTATTTCCCTTAACGGACCTTGAGCAAGTTACTATCTGAAAGGCTTAGAGTGACTGCATCTTGCCCAAAATCATATGCAGAACTAGGATTTCAACATAGGTCCATCTAACTGCAAAAGCCAGTGGCCTTACTCAGCCCTCTGTCCACTAATGAGATGAAGCAGAAGACAAAGAGGTGGACCGCTTATCAGGGCCACCCCACCTTTTACAATGCATGGCCATGCTCAGTGTCCCTACCAGTCACCCTCTTGTGGTTCCTCCTCATCTCGAGTTCTAGTACTGTTCTGTCTTGAACTTTTTAATAGATTCACCCAGAAAGATCTAAGTTCACCAACTTTGTGATAGAAGACTCACACTTACATTCGTAAAGGTATGTATTGTCTATACAAAATTGTAATAACACATTTTTCATTTCATTTAGAGCATTAGTTTGGATGAGTTCAAATCATTTTGCCATTTTACAACCCACTTGGAAGACTTTGCTATTGCCATGCAAATGTTTAGTTTAGCTCATCGGCCTGTCAGACTCGGTAAGTTATATGAATCATTTTATCTTCTATAACCATTTTACTTTATCCTTCAATTAGCTGATACCAATCAAAGAGCCCAGTTACCAGAAAAATAATCAATTGGCCTTTTAATTCAATGTGATTATTCTGGATTTACAACACCAACCCTCCCATTTAACAGTTACTTTAAATGGTTTAACTTTCTCATTTTTCTCCTAAAAAGGAGAAAATAAATATTCATGTTTGAAATATTGATTAATTAAAATAATTTGCTTATCTTACAGTTACATGCATGACAGTTTTTAAACAAATTTATAATTGGGACATGTTCTTGATGAGTACTTTTGTTTAGTTTCAATTCACTTCCCAAATGATAAAAAAAAAGTTAGTTTTTACTTCCTAAATGGTGACAATTTAGATTACTTCTATTTGAACTATTTCACATGGCTGATGAGTTACTTTGTGTTTTCTTTTTTTTTCAGCTGAGTTTAAGAGGGCTGTGAAAGTAGCAACAGGACAGGAGCTCTCCAACAATATTTTGGACACAGTCTTCAAGATCTTTGATGTGGATGGGGATGAGTGTCTCAGCCATGGAGAGTTTCTTGGGGTGTTAAAAAATAGGATGCATCGAGGTTTATGGGTAACAGATTGTAAATAACTACATGTTTACGTGTAATTAAAAAGTCCCTGAGTGGCGCAAAGAGTTTGCAGTTGACTAACATAAAAGTTGGTGGTTCAAGCCCACCCATTGGCCCCATTGAAGAAAGCACTGGCAGTCTGCTTCCATGAGATTATAGCCAAGAAAACCCTTTCGAGTGATTCTGCTGTGTTACACATGGGGTCGCCATGAGTCAGAGTCAACTCAACAGCAACAGCTTTGGATTTTCTGTTTTTAAATGAACGGTATTAAACCTAGCATTTGGGGCTAATGTACAGGTCCCTGGGTGGTGCCAACAGTTTGTTCTCAGTGACTAACCAGAAGGTTGCTGGTTCGAATCCACCCAGCGGCTCCATGGAACCCAGGCCTGGCTATCTGCTTCTGTAAGATGACAGCCAAGCAAGCCTTGAGGAGCCCACTTCTGCTCTGAAGCACATGGGTCACTTTGAGTCAGAGGCAGTTCTACAGCAGTGTATTAGTTGAGTCTTCATCATGTATAAAGAGATTATAAACTATAATTAAAACACTAAAATGTCATTTGCAGATGGTAGTCAACCATTTCCTTTGCTCTTTTTTTTTTTAAATCTGAAACTAATCTGAAATCACCCACTCAGAAATCACAGCCTAGACTTTGACTTTGGGCTCTGGCTTCAGATTCAGCTCTATTACTTAGTTCCTGCTGAATCTTGCAAAGCTACTTAATTTTTCTGAACCTCAAATTCCTCATCTGTAAAATGAGGGAACTGGTAGAGTGTACCAAAAAAGAATTACTGTGAGAATTAAATGTAAAATACTTAGTATATTAGCGAGACACATTGGGCACTAAGTAAATGGAAGCTATTATCATTATTCACTCCAACTCACATGTTGATAGCAGAAATCAAACTCAGAATTTTGTTGACATTTGAGTCAAGTAGTAGCATTCTTGAGAAGCAGTTTGCAGGGGAAAACTCGATCCAAAGACAATAGACATATAGGTAGGTGGTCAAGCTGGAGAGACGGGGGAGGGAAGAAGAGAGGAAGGGAGGGAAAGGAGACTGAGATAGATAATGGTGGATCCTTGAGGACACGGCTATTTATTTACAACTTAGAAGACCAAATCCAATTTCCTGCTGCAAATATAGTTTAGAGTGAAATGAATACTTATGTTTACTGTAAGCAAACATGTTTTACAAGTTGTGTAGTTATCTAGCACCAGGTAGTTACTGGTGATATTCCTGGAAATTAAACCAAACTTTGCAATGAACCATTTCACGTACCTTGGAGCCTCTTTGCCCTTTCTCAGTAAACAAGAAAGAGAAGAGCTAGAAACCAGTGAAAGCAAAAAGAGCATGGAGATTACATATGCTTTCATTTGGCTGTGCTCCTGTGGTCTAACTTTTTTTTTTTTTTTTGCTTTATTGAGAATGGTATTGACCATACAAAACTTTTATTTCATAAATTACATGAATTAGATTATTTCTTTATAAGGATTCTCATCAAATATTTTGTGACCTATAGTTTCTTTTGAATTTTAACCAAAGTTAAATCAAAGTTTTAGGCTTATAACTATCATTCCACATAGCAAAATAAAGTTCACCAGAAAAAGGGAAACATAGGAAGAGACGGACACAGAGAGGTGCACAAGAGGTACAGGCAGTAAAGACAACACTATTGCAGACACAATGGTGGATTGTCAGTAACAGTAAACACTAATGTACAGGTGGATACGTAGTAGACAGGCTAGAAGATCCAGTATGGATAGGCGTACAGAAATATACCCACGACCATACATAGGTTTGGCGGTCAGTATTCCTACATATATATTTGTATGTGCTATACAAATGTCCATATGCAGTTTCGAGCTCACAGGGGGCAAGTTAGGATAACTCCTTACCCACAACTAAGCACCTTGAGGAAATGAATCACTGGGCCTACAGGCTGGGGACCAGGGTTGCGGGGGACATCAAGCTCAATTGGCACTTCATAGTACACAAAAATATTGTTTTACATCTTACTTTGGTGAGTAGCAACTGGGATCTTAAAGCTTAAAAGCAGCCATCTGAGACACAACTATTGCTGTCTCCTCATTCAGAGGAAAGTTAGGCCGAAGGACTAATGGACCTCAGCCTATATGACCCCTGAGACCAGAAAAACTAGATAGTGCCTGGCTACCAATGCCAACTGCTCAGAAAAGGATGAAATTTGGAGATCCTGGATAGAGTGGGAGAAAAATGCCACAAAATGCAGGGTCATAAAAATGATCAGGCTTACTGGACAGAGAGATTGGTGAACTCTAAGACTATGGCCCCAAATCCCCCTTCGGGCCTGGAATTAAACTCATTCTCATGGTTTAACTCTCAGCCAAACAACAGACAGGCCTACAAATTGAACACCTACACCAAGGAGATGCACTCCTTTGAACAGTCAACCCTGGGAGATCAGAAGGGCAGCATTTGCACAGAGAGAAAAGTGGGGAGACAGGATGCATAAGCAAGAAGGACACAAGGAAAGTGATAACCACAGAGAGGAAGAGGGAGGTGAGCTGTTACACTGTGGGGAGTGTAACCAACGTCACAAAACAAAATGTGTATGAACTGTTGAACCAAAAAAGAATCTGATTTGTAAAATTTCACCTGAACCACAATAAAGAATTAAAGAAAAAAAGAAAACATAAAATAATTACATTTTTAAGCTATTATGTGTAAGAAGATTGCCCAAAGTTTTCCTTATTTTCTTAGGGAAGGAGCTCCATGAATTTATACATGGTCAGTCCCATTCCTTAGCTCTCCTGAGGACATTCTTAGCGCAAACTCACTTTTTTCCTTCTAGCCTTATTTGAACAACCTGTTGCAATCATCTTCTGCCATCCTCTACCTCAGACTCCTTTTGGAGAAGTGGGGGAAATAAACGATAACATAAAGTACACATTAAATGATCTTTAATCTTGAAGAGAATGACCTCTTGACTTTTCCTTTTGGCTAACAGGTACCACAACAACCAAATGCACAAGAATACTGGAAATGTGTGAAAAAGGAAAGCATTAAAGGAGTAAAAGAAGTCTGGAAACAAGCCGGAAAAACTCTTTTTTAAAAACAATAATGTGCAAATTCTGTTGCTCCATGTGTTAGAATTTGGGTGGTTTTTTTGTTTGTTTTTGTTATTTAAGTACTAGATGTTTATCTTCTACCTTCATTGATTTTCTTTGTAATATAAAGATGCCTTGTCCTTGCTTTCTGAATCAATAATTTCTTAATATGGTTTCATTAAAGAACTTATTCAGAACAGTATTCTTTCACAAAAACAGACATTAGATTCTCTCAAAAGGCCTAGGTTGAAGTAATGTGTTGTTCTTAATAAGCTAGGATAACTAGTTACTCATTGATTTCTTAAAATAGCAAGATACGCTCTCTGGAACAGTAAACAAGTACTTACAGAAAAGAAAGACTTGATACACAGAGCCAGTATCAATTCCAGAAGTCCCAATGTTCCTAATCTGGCAAATTAAGTTAAAAACACATTTCAGGTTTTCTAATCTCGTATATGGGAGCTCTGGTAGCATAGTGGCTAAAGCACTTGACTGCCAACCAGAAGGCTGGTGGTTCAAACCCACCAGCCACTCCTCAGAAGGAA